CACGTTGAAGGTGGGAAGGCCCATAGGTCAAGCAATCAGGTCCCGAGAGAATGGATTGGTGGAGTTTGAAAGAAAAGGAGGAGACTGCATTTTCTCGTATTCGGCTTCCCACCGTCACGACTGTTGTCGAAACCTGGACAGGCGCCGCCAGAGCGATACATGAGGCGGCGTCGTGAAGACTGGCAGGCGTAGAATTGGTAAGGAGCCGTGGCTAGGAGCCGTGGTTATGGACAGAGCTAGGCAAAGAAACGGTCACCGAAGAGGAGAGGCGCTACCACGCGTTCCTTGACAACAAGTCAGCTAATAGCTGGCAGAAATACAAAAAAGCGAAGAATGCAGTGAAGGCTCTGGCTGCTGCAAAAGCGGCCCTTTTGAAGATGTCGGTAAGAAACCTTAGCTACTCGGCGGAGGGCGGCGCCTCTACCGACTTGCCAGTGCTCGGCACCGGCAGACCGGAGATATAGAGGAATACACTGGCATCAACGACGAGTATGACCGTCTTTTGGTAAGGGGTACTGAGGGGATGGCGCGACTACTTTTGGAAAAATCTTTACAGTAGAATATACAGGGGGGGGGGGCAAAAAAAAACACATTTCGACCGAGTCACATATCAGCAAAGTTTTCGCTCGTCACCGGTACGGTACAGGGCGGAGATACCAAGATGTCTCCTCTATAAGTAGGAGCTGGTTCTCGCCCATCGCCTTCATGTACACCAAAATATGAAGTCATCTCCAGCCGCAACCTGACTGGGGAGGCCTTCGGAATTCATGTCATCTCACGAACAGTGCGACATTCTGGTTGGATCACCATGGAATACTAATCCTGCGAGACCAGTACTCTCGACTGACTATGACCTCCAACATACGAGCAGCTCGACAACGTCGCCAGCGTCTAGCGACATCCTCTTTCATCCACATCACCAAGCGCCAGTTGAGTGGTGAGTGTCGGACCGTACCTGGAATGGAGAAGACCGATATTCTCTTCGTGGGCTCTGGACTGAAGGTGAGCCGGCGGTTACATCGAGCAACTCGAGAAGAATTCTCTCCACATGTCGTCGCCGTCTTCTTTGGAAAACTTGGGTATGTACCAGGATTGGGTGACACCACATGGAATCAAGGGCGTTGGGAAAACTCTTGCCTACTTGGAATGGAAGGGCGTTGAGTACCTGAGTAAGGTGGAATATCTAAGTAGGTAACCTGGCCTAAACCCCTCAATCACCCGGTTCGGGAGGAGTTCAATAGGATGGTCTATAGTGGCGGAGAAATCAACGATCTCGCTGAACTCACGCACCCACTGACGGTCGCGTGGCAGAATCTCTCGATGGCGCTCCTCCAGAAGGCTGTGGCGGAGTATCATGATAGTATTTGATATGCTCTTTAATATGGTGGTAGAAATGTCCGATAAAAATTTACTAAAGTGTAACTTATAGCGCCTCGAAAATCGAGGAAGAAAAAGTCTTTTTTTGGCCCCCCCTGTATACACCCGACCATACACCGTGCTTCACCAACATACGGTCCCGTTCCACAAGATAACCACGAAGGAAGCGGAAGAGGCTTTCACGAAGATGAAATAGATAGGGCAACAGGATCTGACGACGTGGCAGCCGATCTGCAGAAGTCACGGTGCTGGCACCATACAGAATGGTTGATGGATTTCTTCAATCAGGTTGTTGCTGAGAAGAAGACGCCCGAGGACTGGCAAGAAAACGCGGCGATTCCGATATGGTGGAAAGGGCAGACCTGCGGAATGTTTGAACTACCGCTTATTCTCCTGCTGTCATATAGCATGATGATTTCTAAGCGCATTGTCGATATTCGTTTGTGAAATGGTCCAGCTTTCTATCAACTGATGTGGCTTTGTGGCAGGCTGTAGCACCATCGACGCCATACGCCATCGAATATATGCACACGGAATACCTCGTTCCTCACCAAAACACGGTCCCGTTCAGGAGATAACCATGAAGGAGACGGAAGCGGCTCGCAAGAAGATTAAGCCAGGCAAGGCACAAGGACCTGACGACGTGCCAGCCAACCTATGGAATTCACAGTACTGGTACACTGCATATGCAAAATTGCTCATCTTCTGTGAGCAAGTACCTTGGTTGGCAGTGGTAGCGGTTGTATCACTTCTGCTTCAAAAAGGGAGCGAGAAGGGCACCCATACCGCCTTCCTCTCATAGACCCGAGTTTCCTTCTTTGGCTCCCATCCACCAATCTACCCGGACCTAATAGCAGAGCGTAGATAGGAACATTGTGCCAATAAGGAATCAGCTGGGTTCAATCGCGGTGACCATTTCGACCACAACATCACCGTCCGGTGATCTTGTCCAATCGCCCACTGCTCGTACAAATGCTTTCACTAGGCAAGTGAGGGGAGGGGAGGGAAGGGTATTCTTCTGATGGCTCCTCCACCGATTCTTGCTGTGAGGAACACCTGAAGAGGCACTAGCAGACAGCGGCAAGTTGCAAGCTCAGAAGTGGTGAAGGGCAATGACAATACGGTAGACGCCCAGGAAATGTCACGAATGAATGAACAAGCGGAATAAAGTAAACGCTCGGACCTTTCTAAGCCTTAGGGGCATCTAATTGCACGAAAAAGCTTTACCAGATGGCTACACCTTTCCAATACTTCTTCGAGGGGGTTGGATGCATGGCGCAACACAGAGGAGCTCTCAATCGGCGCCGAGTGAACTATTTCTAATGACTTCGACGGGAATATGTATTCTAAAAGCTCACTCAATTCTTCAAACAATTGAAAATGGTACTGGGGTGAAGTGTGGATTTTTCTCGTCGTTCGGAACTTGTAACAACAGAATCACAACGGAAATTTTTCGCGGCGGAAGACTTCTGGATTCTGACATGGTTTCTGGTTTATTAAGTGATCACATCTGAAGAAAGATGGCTGCTCAAAGCAAAAAATTTCGTAGGTGGCCCTAGAACGCAATAACGACGTTATAAGGGGGGAAATTCAGAAAGGGGAAGTTTGAATGCGTTTAAGCGCATTCACTAAACTAAAATTCTAAGGCTTCACAACGCTGTTTCCCACGCTTCAGAAGCGCGGCTTTGAAGACAGTTACGAATATTCACAAGGGCCCTACTAAAGCCTTTGGCTCATTATGCACTTCGCGAAATAGCAAGCCTCATTGCAAAAGTAAAAGGCGTGTTGAATGCTCGCGCGCAATTTCTGAACATGCGCGAACAATCAAGATTCAAGTAACACAGCGCGATTATGTGCTCTGGCCGAAGCGTTCTCGGAGTGCGAGGACGGCACAGTGTCGTTCCCATGCACTTTTAAGCGGAGAAAAAGGGGCACGGTACTGCAGGTACGCTCATTCTGCCCACACACTACAAGGACCAGGATCCGCGGAGGTGAGTGTACAGTTTGTCTTGAAGGGAACCCGGCGCTGTTCGGCAACGGGGGGGGGCACTTTGCACTTTCGCAGTTTCACTAGTTCGGTATGGAAGCCTCACTCTGGTGAAACCTGTGAATTCTTGCGTAGCTAGAGCAAGCTCGTCCAGCCACCAAGATGAAACCTGTCAACTTTCGTAAGATTCTCTCAATGGCTAGACACGTCGATGGGAAGTGCC